TCTAGGTCTCTACCTCTCTCCCATCCTCTCTGTAATATATATATATATTTTTTTTTATTTTTTTTTTAAATAATAATAAAAAGGCATGGGGATGCTCAGGCACGGTGTGTTCCGGAAGCCCCTGGAAGAGAGAGGCACAGACTTCAGTGGTGAGGGTGCAGGGCATTGCCCTTTAGCCAAAGGTCTTCCAGCTCTGGCCGGTGTGGTTTGGTTGGTTGGAGCTTCCACTGAAAGGTTGCAGGTTTGATTCCTGGTCAGGACACATACCCAGGTTGTGGGTTCGATCCCCTGTTGGTAATTGATCAATATTTCTCTTTCACATCTCTCTCCCTCCTTTCTTCCTTCCCTCCTTCCCTCCCTCTCAATAAAAAGCAATAAAAACATACCCTTGCGTGAGGATTAAAACAACAACAACAAAGTGTCTTCCAAAACAGAAGAGACAGAGGCAGGAGATGGGATATGAAATCAACTCTGTTAATCACCCCTCTTCGCCCACTGTTCCGATGTTCCCCGTGGCTGGAATGAGAAGATGGTTTAAGTGGAAAATATCCACTTGGACTTGTGACTCAGCTCCTCCTGACCTCGGGGAAGTGTAGGCCATAAATCAGGATGCTGCTCCGGTGCCTCCTCCGCGCGTTCCCAGGGCAGAGGCTGGAGAGGCAGCAGCAGTGACAGGACCCACTTCGGGGAGAGATTTAGAGGCTTATTTGGTTCTCCAGGAGCGTCCCTGTCTCCGACCTCCCTTTCTGAAGCCGCTGACGGATGGCCTCAGCCCTTGACCCGTCCGTTTTTACTGCCCATCCCGCCCGGTTTTATGTCCTGGCACAGCTTGTGAAGTGTGTTTTTCATGTTTAGCAGCAGCAGCGTAAGGCTGCTGAGAAGCAGGGTGGCCGACGCGCTGTCCGTGTGATATACACGCCGGCTCTGGAAGCTGTGAGTTTTAAATGGGTGTTTGCTAACGTTTATTGAGCTGCCCCTTCCTTCTCTCGCTGCCTCTCCCGCGGGCCTGGTGTGGGAAGCACAGCAGGCGCGGTTCTGCCTCAGCAGGGCCATGCTGGGGGTCCTGGCAGCTCCACGCCCTCTTCCCCCCTCCTCCTCCCACCCCCTCCCCCTCTCGGGCTCCCAGCCCCCCAAGACCTGGTCACACCTCTCCACTGTAAAGGTGGGAAAAGAGAGGAGCCAAGAGGAGAAGGGACCTGCCCAAAGCTCCAAGGACACTTGTGAGACCAAAACCCACAGGTGCTTGTTCCCTACCAGGACGTTCGCCAGGCTCAGGGCTGTGAGACACAGCTCTGCCTGAGGGCATCTGCTCTGAGGATGTGCTGGGGAGCAGCCTCACCATAAGGGCTCCCAGGGTGAGCCTGCATTGCCCATGCACCAGCCCAGCTTTTGCTTCCCTTTTAAAATATATATATATTTTATTGATTGATTTTTTTACAGAGAGGAAGAGAGAGGGATAGAGAGTTAGAAACATCGATGAGAGAGAAACATCGGATCAGCTGCCTCCTGCACACCCCCTACTGGGAATGTGCCAGCAACCAAGGTACATGCCCTTGACTGGAATCGAACCTGGGGCCTTTCAGTCTGCAGGCTGATGCTCTATCCATTGAAACAAAACTGATTTCGGCAATGCCTCCCTTGCTTGTTGCCAGTTACTCCTCACAACACCCCGAGGGCGGGGGAGCAGGGGAGCGGGAAGAGTGCTCTGACCCTCCGCTGTATAGAGAAAGACACCAGTCCAGTGAGCCGCACCTTGCTGCCATACATGCAGAATTTCCCAGGCCACTGATGCTCACTTGACAGGTGGAGACCCAGAGGAGAGGAATCCCGTGAGGGTGCCCTGGGGAGTTACCACAACTCTCACGTCAACCACAGTCTTGGGAATCACAGGCCTGTGTGTGTCCATGACCACTCTCTTCTTAGGAGACAGGGGCCTTTTATTAACAGCTGTAACATGCCATCTCTTCCAAGCCGTATCATAAGTGGGCTCCAGTAGCTGGGGATTTCACCCCCTTCTCATCCCTTCCCTTCCCCACCTCCAGCTCCCTGTCATCCACCGCAGGGGGAGTCGCGCTTTAGAGAGAGAAAAACCGTGCCTGGGAGCCAAGTGGATGAGTGTGGCTTGAAGCTCAGAGCTTCAAAGTTTACCTTCGAAGTGCCCCGTGCCTCTCAGTGAATCTAACACCAGGCCTCATCACTCTGTAATATTCACAGGACACTTGACAATAGAAAGAGCCTTTTAAAATCCTTCGAAATAGGACTTTTAATTCAGCAGCACCGTGGAGTGTGTAAGGGGATTGTCATCTTGCTTGTGTGCGCTAAAAGCCAGGCTTGATCCTCAGGAAATTTAGTGACGGCGCCCCTCAGATTGGCCTCCCGGAGGCCCCACCTCCTCTCTCCCTGCTCCCTCCCTGTTCCTTTCTTCCAAGCCGGCTTTGATATAGATTCCCCTCTCCCCTGTCCCTTCTTCCTGGCTCATCTCTCTTCAGTGTCCGTCCATTACTGTTTTAAGGTTTGTCATGCAAATCAGCTGACAAAGATAACAAATAAGCCGAAACCGGTTTGGCTCAGTGGATAGAGCGTCAGCCTGTGGACTGAGGAGTCCCATGTTCAATTCGGTCAGGGGCATGTACCTGGGTTGTGGGCATATCCCCAGTGCGGGGGGAGGTGCAGGAGGCAGCTGGTCAATGTTTCTCTCTCATCGATGTTTCTAACTCTCTATCCTTCTCCCTTCCTCTCTGTAAAAAATCAATAAAATATAAATTTTAAAAAAGAAGAAGAAAAGATAACAAACAAGCCAGCTCCTGAGCCAAACCTGCCCAGCTGTCCTGCCCCTAAGTCCCTCCCTGTGTGAGTCTGAGTGGCTCCTCTCTCGGGCCCCAGGGGTGAGTCGAAGGCTGTTTTCCCAACTTCCTTTCACGAGAGCTCAATTCCAGGAGCAGTTTTTCAGAGACACGTTTTTCTGGTCAAAAGGACGGGAAATTCTGCTTGCAACCCGCCCCCCTTGGAGACATTCAGTGTGTGGAACATGCCAGGAGTTTTTGGAAGTCCTGCTGCCCAGAGCCCTGTGGAAGTTCATGTAACCCAAACCTGTTTGAGCACCAGAAACGTGTTTTACAGCCCACGTAAGAGACACTTGTTCAGAGGTAGCTCTATGGGTTGGTTCTGGAAGATTCTAAGCCCTTGACTAGGGTGCTTCCTGGCCCAGGGATGGAGACCTCTCCAGGCTCCACGTAGGAAAAGCCAAATTAGGTTATTCTCTGAGAGCCTTCAGGAAGGATTTTTTTCGTCTATACCAGAACATTGTCAGCTGCTTCTGCTTTCTTTGGAAGTAAATAGAAATGAATGGGGCGGGGGGGGGCGTAATTTATGGCCTGAACATTTGCATTTTGGGGTCTGGTCAGAGAAAGATGTCAGGCCAAGCGAGCCATTCTTAGAGAAGAGGATGCGCTGGGGTTTTCTGTGTTTGGGAAGCTCCATCTTTCTTATCAAGCCAGCTGTCACACACTTGGATTTCTCCTACAAATATGCCCCCACATGCACAAACCCACATTAATAACGCGTATCTCTGCCTTCTGAAACGGAGACATTTCTGTTAGCTTAGTGGACTTCAGTTTTAGTTTATTTTTAACGGCTCTAGTTGTTTTTTAATTAACAGTTAATACCACCTTTTTGATTGATTTGTTGGTTGTCTTTCCCTGGTTTTTGTTTCTCTCTGGAAAATTCCATCAGTCATGACACAGATGAGCCACGGGTTTTGTGCGTTTGCATGGGGTGGAGGCATCTAAAAACAGACTGCGGTGAAGAAGGTGACACTGACTGTATACGCTTGCTAGGGCTGCCATAACAAAGTGCCACACACTGAGTGGCTTAAACAACAGACATTTATTGTCTCAAAGTTCTAGAGGCTAGAAGTTCAAGATCAAGGTATCGGCAAGGTTGGTTCCTTCCAAAGGTTGTGAGGATCTGTCCCAGCCTCGCCCCTGCTTCTGGGGTTTGCTGGCCATCGTTGGTGTCCTTGGCTTGTGAAAGCATCACCCTGATCTCTGCCTTCAGCATCTTCACATGGTGTCTCCCTGAAGGCCCGGCTGCCCACATTTCCTCTTTCTGGGTTAGAGGCCCACCCTTCCTCACCATGACCTCATCTAAACTTAACTAATTCTATCTGCAAGGAGCCTGGACCATCTGAGCCGGCTCCCTCGGGAGTAACATGAAGGGTCTGGAGGAGGCACTCTCCCCAGGCCAGGACTCCGGTGTTTCAGTGAACAAGGTGTTGGAATACAGTGGCTGGAGCCATGCACTGGGAAAGCCAGCAGACCCAGCTTCTAATGCTAGTTCTGCTGCTTCCCAGGGTCGTGATTTCTGGGAGTCTCTCAGCCTCTCTAAGCTCAATATCCTCGCCTGCAACATGGAGATAACAGCCAATACCTACCTCAGAGATGAAATTAGGAAATCCTTATGAATTGCCTAATGCATGAATTGGCACATGGTAGTAAGAGTTGACATTACTGGGGGCCGTTGCTTGTGAGGGTTGTGGGTGAGATATTGTAGGTGAAGGGCCTGCGGGAAGCAGGTGCTCAGTTAACCACTGCTCCTCGCCCTCCGCGAACAACAGCTCTGGCAGAGTTCCCAGCGTTCGTGTTTCCCGTCGGGGTGTGGGGTGAAGGGTGGAGGATTGTACAGAAAAGTAAACTACTTGAAGAATAAAAATAGTTTTCAGGCACTCCTAAGCCATTTATAATAACCAGCTACTCATAATTAGTGATATTGCCAGAGCAATGAATTAGAATTCATTACATTACCTGCCCTCAGGTAATAACATTTTCACCTGGCGTGGTTTTATTATGGAATCAGTCCAAGTTAGTGCAGTATTCCCCTATAGTATTATCATCCTGACGATTCATAAGACGTGCCCAGGCCACCATGTGAATGACAAGCACTTATTTTCCCTGAAGGCAGACCCCAGAAGGGTCTTTCTAAGATCCCTCTCTTTCTGGTAGGTCTTGTTTCAGCACGGAAACCCAGAAGACAAAGACGAGGTCTTCACAATGTCGTACCGACGAGAGCTAGAGAAATACCGCGACCTGGACGAGGATGAGATCCTCGGAGCCCTCACGGAGGATGAGCTCAGGACCCTGGAGAACGAGCTGGATGAGCTGGACCCGGATGTGAGTAGGCTCGAGGGGACCACGTTGTCACAGGCACAGGGACAGCCCCCGTGACCACCCGCGGGAGGGACCGGTGCTGTCGCTTCCATTTTCCGTCATGGCCATTGCATTGGAATAACATTGCCTTTGCAGGTGTGTGTGTGTGTGTGTTGTATTCATCAAGGTTCTCTAACAGAACCAGTAGGATGTAAATACATAGAGAACGAGATTTATGATGAGAAATTGGCTCACACAGTTATGGAGCCTGACAAGTCCCAAGGTCTGCAGTCGGCAAGCTGGACACCTGGGAAAGTGGACGGTATAGTTTTATTCCAAACGCTGGCAGGCTTCAGAGCCAGGAAGAGACCCAGTGTTTCAGTTCTGCTCTTCTTGATATTGTAACTTAAGTCCTATGATGTAAATGACCAATATTTAGATGCTACAGAATAAAATAAAGATTAGAGACTAAGGGGAAAGAAAACAAAGATATTCGCTTAACACACTCACTCCTGCAAACATTCATAACAAAATAAGGAAATACACCTGGTCTTAGCTGGTATTTATAACTTCTACCTTCTTCCACTACCCATTCTGTATTCCCTTTCCCTTTGGCAAGCACCTAGCTGGTCACAGTTCCTTGCCTGGTTAGGTGACGCACGCCTTTATCCCTGAAGGTCTGAGCCATTAGCGGCCCTGCCTGGATTGATTGTTGTAGTTTTCCATTGACTATAATCCTGGGGCATGGTAATTAATCCTAAGAAAGCCCTAATAACCAACCTCCTACTGCAGACATAGGCTTCCTTACCCCCACTGTGGAGCAGCAGTCCAGTTTCCCCTTGGTAATTAGGATCCATCACTCCAGCCAATGCAGAAATTCCTCTTCGGCCTATTGCTCAGAGGTAGGAGGAGCCCAAAGTGGCCAGGCATCAGTCTTAACTTCCGGTCCAGTGGAATCATTGTTGTGTCTCCGGGAGGAAGCATTTTTCCCTTTGGAACTAAGTCCTGAACTAAGACCTGTAGGCCAGGAGAGCATAAGGTCACAGGAACAGGAAGTGAAAATTTTGCCAGTGAGTCACTAGGGGTAGCAGTGAGCGGTGCCACTCCCATTTCTACCTTGATTGCTGGACCTGTGGATCCTGGCGATGGGAGAAGCAGCTCCGTGTGTTGGACGCTGAGACGGAGCACATGCAGACTCCTAGAGAGCCGGGGCCCAGCCCTGCAAAGATTGCCACCAGTTAGCACTGCCCTTGAGTCTGCAAAAGCCCGTTCCACTGGTGCATCCAGGCAGCTGCTACAGGATGGTGGGGGGAAATGTGTCATGCAACAAGTTAACCAAGAAATAAAAGACTAGAAGAATCTTTCACGTGTTAGATGTTTTTATCATTGCATTTCATAGCCAGCACTCTTAAGTGTGTTTGATGCTCAGAATTTGCCTCTGCTGTTGGAATCACAGCATCAAAAGGCAAGCGGCTCCCTGGGTATGTCTGTGGTTTGGCCGGGCACCGTAGAGCCGTGAGCAGGTTCAGGGAGGATTCCTAGGAGGCCCACTAGCTAGCAGGGGCCTTCACTCCACATCTCTATCTCAGCTATGCAGGTCAACATCCAGCAAGGAGAAGGTAGGTAATGAATGCTACTGAATTTAGTGAATTTTTCCATATGCTATATTTTTATATTAAAAAATGGGACATTTTACACCTTTTTAAAAAACTTGTCATTGCTTAGCTATAGTTTAATAGTGATCCATAAAAAAAAGAACACTTGTGTACCATTCCACTAACCCTCAAGTAATCCCAGCTCATGTAGAGGCAGTAGGTTAGCAGGAAAAATGAGTATCCTGGTTCCAACCCTGGCCCTGTCTCTTATTCCATGTGGCCTTGAGCCAGTTGTTGTCCTTGCCTAGGCCTAGTGTCCCCACCCATAAAACGATGGAATTGGTTGGTCCTTTTCAGGGCCAAATGTCCCTGAGCTTATAATCTGTCTTGTCTCTAGATTTGGTTACGTGGTTTCTTTCTAGAAACCTAGAATCCTTGACTAGGGCCCTGGTTCGCAGGCCCCATAGATTGACAACTTCTGCCAGCAACACACTGTCATCTTGCTATTTCCCCTCCACCCCCTTTATCCGCCCCCCCCCCCCAAACCAACCTGTGAGGAGTTGGTTCCCCTGACGAAATTGCTCAAGTTGACTAGAAGGCAGCATTGTTGGCCTGCACCATGGCTCTCTCTTAGCCTGGGTTTCAGTAAAAACTAGTGATGGCTGAAACCAGTTTGGCTCAGTGGACAGAGTGTTGGCCTGCGGACTGAAGGGTCCCGGGTTTGGTTCTGGTCAGGGGCATGTACCTTGGTTGCGGGCACATCTCCAGTAAGTGTGCAGGAGGGAGCTGATCGATGATTCTCTCTCATCAATGTTTCTAGCTCTCTGTCCCTCTCTCTTCCTCTCTGTAAAAAAATCAATAAAATATATTTTAAAAAAAACAAAAACTAGCGATGAGGGCAAGAAACCACCAAGCTTCCAGCTTCGTTGCTATAAAATTATTCCGTTCTAATTCTATCCTAGATCACTGCTGCAAGAGCAAACAGCTTTACAAAGTGAGAACAAAGGGGGATGTGGTACTTGTAGTCAACGCAGTGAATACGGCTCGGTTACCCGCCGGGCGCCAGGCCCGGTGCCAGCTGCCGACAGGGGGGCCGGGCGGGCGTTCTGACCCGCAGGCGCTCGGTCCCGCGGGCAGCAGATGTCACATAAACTCCGTTCTACATGGGAGCAGACCGGAGCTCAGGGAGAGGACTAATCCTTACTGGCGGGAGGCTTCACAGGACAGGCGGTATTGGAACCGGGCCGTGGGCTTTTCTAAGTCGAGAATAAAAACAAAGGATCCTAGGCAGAGGGAAGGCCGTGAGCACAGGGTCTTGTACAAAAGGGAGCTGGGGCAGGGAGTCTCAGCATGTGTCTGTGGAGGGTTTGTGGGCTTGCTGTCTCAGGATCAGGACAGATGGGCCAGCGGAGATGCCAGATGGCGGGGAGATGAGGGAGAGGTGGAAGGGGCTCACGTGGAGCCCTGTGGTCCTGCCCGGCCTGTGGTAGCAGAGTTCTTTTCTGACAACAAGAAAGGGGTCCTGCCCTCTCCACCACCCTCCCAGCATATTGCAGGATCTCTGCTGTCCCCAGGGGGAAGCGCAGACACACACATACCCTGGAGGGCCCTCAAGGCCTGGGGCCTCTGGCCTTCGGGGCTGGGGGAGTTGTCCTGAGCTGTCGCATGAGAAGGAGGTTAGATTAGGCTGTGACTGCAAATCGGGCAGACGATGACAGGGTCAGGGGCAAGCACAGAGTGGGAGTGGACAGGGGACAGGTGGAGGAGCCTCTCAGAACCCAGGGTAAGCCCCCAGGGACCGGCTGGTTTCCAGCTGGGAGCTCTGTTTCACCTGGAGACTGGCAGGGAGCTCCCACAGTGCCCCCGCCCCAACTCTCAGGGTCCCTGGCCCCAGCAGCAGGTCCCCAGGAGGCTCCCTGGAGCCCTTCTCCCAGGGGACCTGCAGGAAGGGGTGCTGTGTCTCCCGGAGGGATGGAGACCCTGGGGCCCCAGAGCTCCGTGCCCCGGTGTCACAGGCCCAGGCCCGGGGGCTCGGATTCCCCCGAGGGAGGAAGGAGGCTGTGTGCTTGGACTGGGGCGTAGGCTGGGCAATTTGAGACCAGTGGTTTCGAGACGAACATTTTCAAAGACCCCTTTCTCTCTAAGTCCCAGGGAAAGAAAAGAGAAACCAGAGAGAGGAGAGGAGATAGCCGAGGCCGATGGGCTTTTTGTCCCGGCCGCACAATCGGGCCCTTCACGGGAGTTGTCTCCGTTACCTGATTTGCAAGTCAGTGTGTGAGTTTTGAGAAGATCTCGTGGGCCTCCCTCCCTTCTGAGAGCACAGATTCCAGCTCACATTTCACCGCCCTTGGCCCAGGCTCCGCAATCACAGCGCGGGGAGCGGCCGGAGGTATGCAGACCGTGAGGGACATCGGAGCCGGCCGGCCCGGACGGGCACAGGGGCCAGCAGGTGTCCAGCCCGCCCACTGGCAGAGCAGGCGCTGAGCCCGGCGAGGGACAGGAATTTGCTCTCGGTCACACGTCCACACCGAGCCAGGCCAGACCCAGGCCCACCGTCTTCTCTGTTATGCTCTTGGTGGTGCAGCTACGACGTGAACTCTCAGGACAATATCCTCCTGTTTTAATTATTGTTTTATAAGGGCTTATGTGGTGCTTTCTCTGTGCAGATGCTGGTCTTAGCACTTTGACAATATGAAATCATTCAGCCATCACCATAACCCTACAATGCAGACACCACTATCATCCCCTTACAGACAAGAAGGTGAGAGAAGGCCCTGGCTGGGTAGCTCAGTATGTAAGAGCATCGTCCCGACAAAAAAAATCGACTGGCCTCGGTTATCTCCTCTACTCTCTCTGAGCAGGTTCCATCCCTGGGATGATCCCTGGTCAAGGCACATACAAAAATCAAGGAATGCAAAAATAAGTGGAACAACAAACCCTTCTCTGTCTTCCCCCAATCTATCTATCTATCTATCTATCTATCATCTATCTATATAACTGAGAGGTGCCCTAGCTGGTTTGGCTCAGTGGATGGAGCATTGGCCTGCGGACTGAAGGGTCCTGGGTTTGATTCCAGCCAAAGGCACGTGCCTGAGTTGCGGGCTTGATCCCCAGTAGGGGGCGTGCAGGAGGCAGCTGATCAATGATTCTCATCATTAATGTTTCTGTCTTTCCCTTCCTCTCAAATAAACAAAGATATATTTAAAAAAAGAAAGAAAGAAAGAAAGAAAGAAAGAAAGAAAGAAAGAAAAGAAAGAAAGAAAGAAAGAAAGAAAGAAAGAAAGAAAGAAAGAAAGAAAGAAAGAAAGAAAAAGAAAAGACAAAACTGAGAGGTGTAGTAACTTGTTCAGGTCCCAAACGCTGACAGTGGCTGCGCCCTGACCCTGCTCTGAGTTCACGTCGTAGCCGCACCCCCAGAAAACCTCATGG